CTAGTGGCTAGGCCTGAGCAGGGGTAATCCTGACAGCAATAGTAAAGACTTGTCACAGGCCTCCAGATGTAGGTAGATGTGGAACTGGGGACTTGTCTGCACTATCTGTCAGTGCCACCAGACGTGACAACAAGACAGCAGCCACCATCGCCAAACTGGCAGAATATGTGCAAATCCATGCACTTCTGGGCTCCATTCAGAGCTGTGCATGAAGTGAATGGTGGGAGGACACCAGCTGTGGAGGTCATTACAGCAGCTGGCAGAAAGGGCAGGAGTATCTACATGTGCCTTATTCCGGTTGCCAGGAGGAGACAGAAGCCTTGCTCCACTCTGCAGAAAAGGGGGTCCCCTACTGCAGAGGCACTCTGGGTGTGACTGCACTGTAAACCAGGCCTTTTGCTCGCACGCAGACAGCTCAGAAGAGGTGCAGCACCACAGAAGTCAAAGTGCTGATGGAGATGTTGGCTTATAATTTATAACAGCAAGACACATCTCTAGGTATAGAAAAAGGCATATAGCTGAGATGCTTCTCCCCCTTCCAGTAGTCTGCTGCTTATTTAGGTCTACTAGGTTGATGTAAAAGAGCCGCAGGGCAGGCATAGCGTCCACTTGGGAAATACCTCCACAAAGGCACGGCAAAAAAGGAGAAGATGGTTCTAGGATGTGGCCAGAGCTCAACTGTGCTCTGCCTCTGTAAAGTCTCAGGAGAGCTAAGCAAGTATGCAGCTAGCCAGATCTCAGCAAGCACTAGATAGTGGAGGCACGGTTGCTTTCCCTCTGCCCTGGGCCAGTCGCCAGTGCAGCCATGACTCTAGCTCATCAATTTGAGGTTCTTGGGGCAGGGACCATGTATACAGGGCCTGAGTATAATGCGACTTGCATCCCAAGCATGACCTCTGGGTATTACAACACCATCAATATTTAATAAGATGAAAGTTCTGTCAAAGGACTCTGAAGCAAGTGTCCATATGCATGAGAAGTGCTGGAAGGACTTTAATGTCTGTGGAAAGCAGGCAAGGCTTGGATTTTTAAGTTCTCAGCCCACACCATTAATGGCAATTTTAAATATTGATTCTGTCTTTGTTTAGCACAAACCAAACAATAAAGTAAAGCCACACTCACTGGCTTTTATTAAGTCTTAATAGAAATTTGAAGTACAATGAGGAAAAATATACAACAGCCGTGAGAGAACAGCAAACAGATCGATTTCATATCTTGACACAATTTAGGAGACTGTGAGAAATTGCCTTCTACCGGGCCATTCTTTGTTCTGAGCTACATTTCTTCTTTCTGCTGGGCATGTCAGAAAAAGAGAGGTTTTGCTCTTGATTGCACCATTATAAGTCCAGAGTACTGATGTTGGTTTCAGTGTTCAGAGATCAGATCTGGGCCCAAGCTTCAGTAGATTCAGGGAACCTAAAAGAAGACAACCGAGAGAAAAGCTGCAAATCTATAAAACACGGTTTGTCCTTTCAGGGAGTCACAGGAGTAATAGGACCGCGAGCATGGCAGCCTTTCGCTCTCATCTCTGGGTTTCTGGAGTCCTAGTTCAGGACGTTTCCAGGTGAGGAGGAGCAAAGCTAGTCTGTCCATAGCTGAAGGCATTTACTAATAAACGTGGAGGGAGATGACGGGATATAGACTGATCGAAATCTCAGTTTGAGCTGGGACGAATTCAACCCTCAGCCCCGCTACTGTTTGCCATCGCACATGAGCTCAGAATTTCCCTGAAAAAGTTTTCTCCTTAAATAAGAGCTTGCCTCATGCCGTGCTCGTGGAAGCCAGGCAATATTTAATTTGAGTGCCGTAGCCCTCACATTGTGTTAATTATTTCCCCATTGGGCTGGCAGGGCAGAAGGCATGTTGGAAAGCACACAATGAGAGTGAGACAGCCCAGAGAGCTGGGGAGGAAGGAGAGGGAGGGCTTAGATGTGTTGAACGCTGGGAGGGTTGTTGGTTGTAGCCGTGTTGATCTAAGGACATAAGCAGGCAAGGTTGTTTGGGTAGGTGTGATATCTTTAATTACTCAGTTGGTCTAATAAAAAAAAAGGTATCTTTTATACTCAGTTGGTCTAGTAAAAGATATCACATCTACCCAAAGAACCTTGAATGCTGGGAAATCTTCACCTCCAAGACAAAATTTTATTATCTGCTGAGCAGAGCACATCTTATTTTAGATGGCGGGGAGAAAACGCAGATGGCAGGGAGAGCATCCGACTGCCCACCTGCAAACCCACAAAATGGGAAAAATCATTCAGGAATGGGCTTTTTGCAGGCAGTTTCAAGGGATTTTGCAGTTGCACTGGATCCACCCAGCGAGTGAACTCTGTATGTACCGAGAAGGATCTTGCAGTGCATTTATCAAAGGCAAAGCTTCCACAGCCCTGCCTCCCCTCGCACCCTGAAGTGGCACAGTGCTGCAAAGGTGTGATTATAGCATGTGCTAAGTTAATCTATTTAGCACTAGTAACTATAGGAACAAAGCAGGTCTTGCACACAGGCTAGCAACCTGCTTGAAGGCTCCCCTGTATATGGGGGCCTTCATTCAGCTGATTTGAACTACCAAAGCAGCACGAAGAGGAGAGTCAGGTAGTCAGGATTGGGACCTCAGTCTTCTTACATAATGGCCTTATGTAACTCCCATTGGGAGTCAGGTACCCTCAGCACTTTGCAAATGCCATGAAACACCTACATAGCTCCCAAAATCTGGCCCTAAGCATCTAATACTCTTCTAGGTACTGTAGACCTAATAAAAATACCAACCTACCAGGATTTTGACCTCACGGGTCGCTTTCCCAGGGCAAGGGCTGGCCCTGTTATTTCTGTGACATTTATTTGTGAGACCTATTTGTAGCTTGGCAGGCAGCTTGTTTGCTTCTGAAATGCTGACCCATGTGCAATAAGTCCCTGAACAAAGTCCATCCCCTGGTGTACAACTGTTCACCTCCCAAAGCCAACACCACAGTTGGCACCAGCCTGCCCTACGGAGCAGGACAGTTCAGGGGCGAATGGATGTAGAAGCTGAATTATCCGTCCTCTCAAAATCGAGCAGCAGCAGTTAGCTTCTGGAGGCACTTCCCCAGGGCGAGGGGGATTTACTCACAGCTCTTGGGCCAACAGAAGTAAAGAGCTCGATGCAGAAACAGTGGGGTGAGGGTCTCGCAGTATGCAGGAGGCCAGACCAGAAGACCATCGTTGGTTCTAAAATCATATCCCTCCATGCAGTCCATGTGTAGGAGACCCTCAAGCTGCTTGTGCTCTTCACCCCCCAGCTTGGTGGGGATTGATTGGTGTCTCTGAGACTGCACACCCCCCCCATTTGTTTTCCATCAGTAACAAACGAGTTAAAGTCATGAAACAAGTGCCTTCAGTGCCATGTGATGATGGTTTTATACATGCCCTGATTACAAGCGTGGCACAGCAGCTCTGGAACTGCTCTCCCAAAGCCTGGCTCAGCTTTGCCAGTATATTCTACAGCTTATTTTTTATGGGGTTTACAGCTTGGCTGTAAAAATTCATGCCCGGTTCAAGCTCTTGGAGTACATTTAGCAGTGCGCTGGAATGTCAGCACTATTATTCTCACTCCCTAGGGGTGTGTTAGACAGAAACAGCACAAAGTGTTTGAAAAGGCTTTTACTCCTTCGGCCCCAGAGAGGGCAGTGCCTATAGCAATGAGGAAATGAGATGTAGAGTTAGGCCTTGAATCCACTCCCACTTTTATACAGGTGTAAATCAAGAATAGCACAAAACTAATGAGAGAGGAGGCTCAGGAGCCTGGGAGGCTTTACTGTCTCTGATTCATTGTGTGGCCTGGGGTAAGTAAATGCTTTTAACACTCCATGCCTCAATTTACCCACCTGTAAATTGGACATAGCAATCACTCCTGACAAAGATGTTGTGAGGCTTACTGAAATGCCACCTCTAAAGCATCCAGGAGGTTCTTTGGATGATCAGTGCTACAGAAACACAGACCATTACTAAGAAGGCCCCCATTTGTAAACTTCCCTATGCCAGAGAGAGATGTGGGGGGGCTGGTGTGCAGCTTTGCATCTGGTGTAGCCATTTATACCCGTGCAAAGAAAGGGGTGTGCAATGCTGTGTTCTGGTGTGGTAAGACCGTGGAAGCTTTGGGCACTAGTGGCAATGATTACAAAGGCACCAGGCAGCTGAGAATTGACTTCTCTGACTTCAGTGAAGTTACTCTTGACCTTCACAGGAGCTAGTAGAGGAGCATTTGTCTCCCCTTGCCGTGAGGTGCTGAAAACCACCTGCAAGGCAACTTCCCTCCCCTCAGCCTTCACTTAATTGGATCAGGCTCCTGGACAGTTTACTCCATGGCCACTCAGTTCCTTCTACTACTAGTAACCTGTTCCCCTGGAACAAGGGTTGGCTTATCTCTGTGCCATAAGGCACATTTTATGGCTTATGAAGGTATTCATAACCATGCTTACAAGGGGACAAGCATGCAGGGAGGTCATCCATGTGTCTTTGAAAGCAGGAACTTTCCTGTGTGTGTGTGTGTGTGTGTGTGTGTGTGTGCGCGCGCGCATGCGCACGCATAGGAATATGGTAGCCTTTTATGTAATTGTGTCACCTTCTACTGATGCCTGGGTGCTTTGGTGAGGAATCAAAAGGAAAAGGCAAAGGAAAGTGTTGGTGTGTATCAGAAGTGCTTTGGAAAGGCACCAACTCACCAGCCTTAAGTCTTGGATTTAGCCACACTCTGGGTAACCACCAGGAACATAGGGCTGGTAGGATGGCAGAGCTGGCTTGGCAGGGGAGTAGGCTGGTCTGGTGGTCAAAGTCCCTGTGTGTGGAGTGGGGTAGCCGGAGTTCAAGCACTGGCTCAATCCTCAGCCCATTGGGCAGTGTCCTCAGGCAAATCTCTGCATCTCACTGTCCTCACTGAGGAGCGGGGACCCACATTTGTCTGATGCTTGCAGAGCTACAAAGCACTATGAATATAATGATAACCCACCTCCTGTTCTTGCCCTGTGCAGACACCCTGCGAAACATCCCCATGAGCCACGGGCCTCGCTCCTCCCCGGCAGAGCTGAACGGAAGCAATCATCGCCTGCTTCGAGAGCGGAAGTCCTTGGCACCCTCCCACTCAAGTCAACCTACTTTATTTACGTTTGACTCGCCTGCCAACCCCATCCAGACCACCCTGTCAGCCAGTGCCCCACAAGACTATCTATTTCTCCACCAGTGCATGAGCAGAAAGTCAGAAAACACCAGGTACGGGACTGGGGGGGTGGTCTGTATCTCACCAGGATTGCCATTCGACTCCTGGGCTGCCCACCGGGCATTGTGGGTTCTGTGGCCAGCTCTGCCACTGGTTGTCTGGCCTTGGGCAGGTCACTTAAGCTGACACATCTTCCACTGACCTGGGTGGGATTTGTTCTTGAAACAGGGCAGAAGAGCAGCCCCGGTGCCTCAGGGATGTAGGCAGCTGAGGGGAAGGAACGGTAATGAACGCTCTGGGCTCTCTCAAATGTGCCTTCTGGTAGTTGTGAAGTGGTCTGACCTGTGGCATAACGTAGAGCAGCCTCGGGGCTAATATACATTATGTCCACAGCTAGGGATGGCCAGATTGTGGCTGCCCTGTGGCCAATCCCTCTCACCCTCTCATCATCCCTTCTTTGCTGGAGGGCCTCTGTCCACTTGGAAGTCACCCCAGACTAGTGATATCAGTTCTAGTTTTAACCTTTTTGTGAGTCTGTCCTGCCAAGACAACCACCCATCTTCCATTTACATAGAAGAGTGGATTTGGTGGCAGATCAGTCTGACCCAGTTCAGGCACGTCAGACAGTGACTGTGCAAACCTGCCTGCATCCAGACCCTGCTCTGATTGTGGTTATCCATCATACCCAGTGCATTTTTTGGAGGAAGAAGGGTATACGTCCCCCACCTGCCCCAGCTGCCAGGCTTGCTTTGAGCAGGGAGGAGCTGGCTTGAATGAGTGTGAGCAATGAGGAGGGGATGACAGAGAGGAAGGGTCAAAACGTATGGGATTTTTCCAGTCTCCACAGATCTTTCCTGCTGCAGCCAACTTTCACTACCAGTAAAAACACTCGCTGTCAGAATCAAGCTGCCAGACCAAGGGCTGAGGATCCACTTGCTCTCCTCCTTTGTCAAAGGAGCCCTATTTTTAGTGCCACCTTGTGATAGTTTTTGCAAATAGCACCTTTGTCCCTACACACTGCAGGAGCCACTTGTGCTCCTTAAAACCGTCACCTCACTGGCCCAGCAAAACACATGTAGAAGTTACACAGCTGTGAAGCTTCTAACTCCCTTGTGTAGCTCACTGCAGTGGAAAACGTCAGTGGGAAAATATTATTTCCTCCTCATACCTCTGTCACTAATGCAACAACAGCAAGGTCTGGATGCAGGCAGGTTTGAACAGTCACTGTCTGAAGTGCCTGAACAGGGTCAGACTGATCTGCTACCAAATCTGCCATTCCATGTCAATGGAAGACAGGGGTTGTCTTGGGAAGATGATGTCTGTAAATAAGTCAGAGATGTATTCACACACAAAAAAACTATGTTGAAAGAAAGCTAAGGATTCAAAAAAGGGTTTGGAAACACCAGAATTAATGTCACACACCCCTGTGTGCATACACATTGCTATGCAGCCTTGAATGACGTGATTGCGTACTGCTGTTCCACCAGACCCCCACCCTACTCAGCACATGAGAATAGCAGGGGTCACCTCAGCACTTGATTTCATCCACATGTTAAAATTGGCCCCATGCCTTCCTTACCATGCACTGCTCCCTGCAGAAAGCATTGCCGATATTAACTTGTGCATGAGCTTTTCCTCATGAGGTGGATACACAACTGGTTGGATCATCATGTTCAATGAGTAGCCATCAGTGATTCAATGTGTAGTTGGGAGGAGTTATCAAGTAGGTTCCTCAGGGGGCTGTCTTGGGTCTGATATTATCTAACATCTTCATTAAGGACATGGACAATGGGGTTTGAATGCACCCTTAGCAAATGTGTAGATGATACCAAATTAGGTGGATTTACAGATACACTGGGTGGTAGGGCTAGGATCCAGAATGACCTAGATAAACTGGAGACATGGTCTGAGATCAATCAGGTAACATGTGCAAACACGAACAAGTGAAAAATTCTGCACTTGGGATGGAACAATTTCATGCACAAATACAGGCTAGAGAATGACTGGCTAGGCTGCACTCTTGCAGAGAAGGACCTGTCAGCTACAAGGACCATAAGCTGAATATGAGCCAATAGAGTGTTTTTGTTGCAAAAAATGCCAACAAAACCCTGGGTTGTATTAACAGGAGAGTCACTTGCAAATCAAAGGAAATGGTTCTTCCCCTCTGTTCAGCCCTGTTGAGGCCTCCCTCAGAGTATCATGTTAAGCTCCACACTTCAAAAAAGATGTGGACAAATTGAAAGAGTCCAGTGGAGAGTGACAAAAATGATTAGGGACCTGGTAAGCAAGACTTGTGAGGAAAGGCTGAAAGAACTAAGGTTATTTAGTCTGGAGAAGACTGGGTGGGGATTTGATAACAGTCTTCAAATCCCTGAAGGACAATTATAAAAAGGATGGAGATGGACTTTTCTCTGTGGCTATAGGGGGCAGGACTAGGAACAACGGCCTCCAGCTTCAGCAGAGGAAATTTAGGCTGGAGATTAAGGGGAACTTTCTGCCTATGAAGGTAGCCAAGCGTTGGAATAGGTGGCCTACAGAAACTGTGGAATCTCCTTCCCTGGAAATATTCAAGAACAGGTTAGACAGACACTGGGATAGTTTAGTCAAGGATGATCCTGTCTTGAGCAAAGGGTTGGACTAGAAGACCTTGTGAGGTCCCTTTCAGCCCTACTTTCCTCTGATTCTCTGACTGCTGTACCTGAATACTTCCCATTTCATTTATGATACGAGGAGCTACTTTTATTCCCATTTTATAGGCAGGGAACCAGAGGCAGAGAGAGCAAGAGTTTGGTCAGAAGCCTCCATTAAGCTTAGGTGCCCAATTTGTGATGCCTGTTGCCTGAAAATTTTGCTTTGTATTATCATTTCCCCCTTTTTGGCTTAGAGTGTGTGGGCAGTAGAGGGGACCCTGGAGCCAGGACAAGCCCCCAGGCTGCAAGGAAATCCAAAGGAAAGAGGTGCTGAGTGGAAGAGAACAGGGCTGAACACATGTCATGAAAGGGGAGCTAACAGCCATGAAATGAGCTGCTAGGTATACGCTGCTTGCAAAGCCCAACCCAGAGTCTTCTACAAGTTGGAATTTTTACACGCAGTTTCTGTCCGTCTCAGCCCTGGTGTGTTTGCAGCATGCAGTTCTGTGCATGGTACTTTATTATGACGCTGCACAGAATTGCTGTGGAATCTCGTATGGCAATCAGAGCTGTGCAGGAGAAAATCCGCAAATGCTAATGCCCAAAGCACTAACACTTAACTTGAGGATCCCTGGGGCTTTTGGCAAGAGCGTGGTAGATAAAGATGCCCGGGCATTTCATAGTTTCTAAGGCCAGAAGGCAGCATTATGGTTTCTTCTACTCGGAGCATATGTTTCAGAGACCAGGGCATTATACCCCATCATCCCTGTGCTGAGCCCTGTAGTGTGGGGTTGAACTACTGTTTAGCAAAGCACTCCATTCCCAATGGCCCAGGCTGCTGAAATGCCAACTCTTTCTTGTACCTTCTGGATGTGAGCAGAAACCCATCCCAACATGTGCTTCCCAACGTGTGCTTCTAGCAATCCTTAATGCTGGCCTGGGAGTCTTGCTGTTCCTTAAATAGCTTATTAAGATATAGTGGTATTCATATTATAGTAGTTCTCAGAGGCTGAGCAGTAGTTTGCAAGTGAGATTACCCAGAGATATGGGGCAGAGGGATAAGAGGCATGGGGCAAGACAGAAAAGCTATGGGACCCTCACAGAGGAGGGATGAGGCAGATGCACCAAAGGCTTTGCTGAAGGAAAGACCAGAGAGTGAAGAGGAGAGTTAGGGGCATCATGAAAGCTAAGGAAGGATAGCTATTGCCTTTCCAGTGTGCCCTTCATGCCCTGGCAGTCCCGCTGGTCGAATGGAGCCACCAGAAGCACGGGGAGATTTGGCAGTAGTGACATCTGTTACAGATGTGCAGCTGGCAGAGGCAGGGAGGACGCAGCCTGTGTGCTTTCCATTTGGAACAGCAGGAGCTTGTTTTGGCCTACAGGCATCTCTGAGCATGTACAGGATTGGCACTCATGAGAGGAAGCTCACAGCACTGCTGCTATTGGGTCACCCCTGGCAGTAGTTACTACTAAAACTGCTGCTGGATCAGAGGGCTTATTAAAAGGAATGTCAGCAGGGGCTCATTAGGGCTACCAGCCTGGCTGAATCATCCCATTTATCGGTGGGCTTCTCGGGGGCTCTTGCCTTTCATCTGAGCTGTAGTAATCATGCCTGGCTTCATCCCTTTTAGCAAGTGAGCTAGTGCCAGGAGGGCCTGGACTGCAGAAATCTCATGATTCCCTATCCCACAAAACCCTGCCATGTGAGACATTTGCAGGTGGCTCCAGCCCCTTCCTCTGTTTGACTTCCATCGTTGTCCTGTCAACATGGTCAGGATCATCCCTTTATGGACAGCAGCCCTCAGGGTGCTTGTGATTGCACAGCAAGGTAGGGGATGAGCTAGGTCTATGCCTTAGTCTGCAGACAGGCTGCTTTGGAGGACTAAACCACAGCCCTTTCTTCTTTCCTAGGAGTGCAAGTTTCTCCCAGGCTACAAGGTCTTCGTTCTTCATGAGAAGTGACTCAGCCGTTCAAAAGCTCTCGCAGGGCAACGGGCACTGTATGAATGGTGTTGGCAGGCAAGTCCACGGCTTCTACAGCTTGCCGAAGCCAAGCAGACACAACTCTGAGCTCAGGGACAGCGCCTACGACCTCCCACGGAGCTTTGGCTCCTACACCAAGTCGAGCCTCACCAGCTCCAAAACGGATAACGAGGAGGTTTACACTTTTAAGACCCCCAATAACACCCTGTGCAAGGAGTTTGGGGAGCTCTCTACAGACTCCTATGATATCCCCATGACTCCTCTCTCAGTTTACCAGTACCCGAGGACATTCACACTGGACAAGAACCACAACACACTGGCTGTAGCCTCCAGTGACTCTCCTGCTGCCCCTCCACCTCGGCCACCTAAACCAGGGCAGATGGAGCCCCAGTGGGGCAGCCCTCCACTGCGTCCACAAAACGGTGAAAGCATGGGCCTGGTCTCCTTGGCGGCTACCATTCCCAGGAGGAACACGTTGCCAGCTGTGGAGAACAGCAGGCTGCTCCGAGGTAAAGCACAACCTTTAGCATGCAGATGGGGAGAGGCAGAGGTGTCTTCTCCCTGGGAACGGGGGTTGCTTGTACATCCAAGGAGGCTGACTTCATGCCAGTCGAGAGATACTGAGCCAGATCCTCCCAGATCTGCACTGGCATACCTCAGCTGAAATCAGCTGATGCTGGCTGGTCTGGTTGGTTCTACATTTTCATGTGACAGGCCTGTGGCATATTCTGAACAGTGCTGTATTTGGGTGTGTCCAAACCCTTCAGCTGGTTCCTGTCTGTTTTTTTCTGTCTTCAGCATCTGCTAAAGCAAGCTTCAGCCTACAAAAACTTGTGCTATACATAGATAGATAGATACACATATACACACATATGTATATGTGTGCATGTGTGTGTATATATGTATACATATGTGTATATATATGCATGTATAGCACAGATTTTTGTGGGCTGAAGTTCACTTCATCAGATGCTGAAGACAGAAAAAAATAGACAAGAACCAGCTGAAGGGTTTGGACACATTCATATGCATATGTGGTTATGTATGTGTGTGTGTATATGTGCGTGTGTGTGTATACACACACAAGTGTATATGTATGTATGTGTATATATATACAGAGAGAGATGTGTGTGGGGGGGGTGTGTATATATATATATATATATATATATATATTATACACACATATACACATATATACACACACACACATATGCATGCACACAAATACATACGTTTTATATATATACACACACACACACACACACACACACACACACACACACACACACACACACACATATACATACACTTTGGTAAGTCTATAAAGGGTAGGCAACCCCTGTTATGGTTGCCAAAGCATGGTACACAAAGGCATTTTGCTTGGCATGTGCACTTCAGGGTGGGCAGCAGGGAAGGGTCCAGGGCTGTGCTGCCATAACAACGATTGGGCCCCTTGCAGCTCCCCTACCATCCATCCCTGGCATGGCAGCATCTTGCAAGTTGAGGTTGAAGGTGTTTTTGGCACTCTGCCCAAAAATATTGCCAACCCCTGGTTTATAAGGTGCAAGCCTACCCTACCTTCTTCCTGTGTATTTAAAAGGATGAGCCAAAACCCTGAATCCCATCACCTCCAGACTCTGGAGACAGTCCATTCTAGATGCAAATATTTTTCAAAGCCTACATATTCGCTGCATTCCCTTTTTAATATAAAACACAGCCAAAATTTTCAAAAGCTTCCCCTGCCCACAGTTGTCATGGTTTTGGGCGACAGATGTGAAACACCTCCAAGTATTTTGCCATGCCCCTGCAATGTGATTTTCACAGCCTCCGCCACTCCTTCTGGCTTTATCTGGAGCTGTGCTTCTTCAGAACTTTTTGCAAATGAGCAGAGTATGTGTCCAGCTGAGTGCACACATGAATGGTTAGCCTCAAGCTGCAGGGAGCTGATTAGTAGAGGAGACTGTAACTTCCCATCCAGGACATCCATTCCAGTCTGAGCTATATCACTTATAGCCAAATGCTGTCTCTTCTTCCAAGTCTTTGCTGCTGACAAGTGACTAAAACAGCTGTGGAATACCCAGGCCAAGCTGGCCGAGATACAGTATAAAAAATATAATGAGAACATTTGCATGGCTTCAAATCTACTCACCCACCCACCTAAATAGCAACATATGTCATTTATGTTGCAGCAATAATCAGGAAAAGTTAAAAATCGAATGATAGAGCCGTTCCCATGATCTGTGCCCGTGGTTCTGTTTCTAAAGGCTGCGTTTTTTAGGGCTGGCTCTGAAGCTAAGGCAATAACTCGAGTGTATTCATGACTGTGTTGCAGCTTCTTCCTGCGAGACTTACGAGTACCCCAAGCATGGGGGCAGCGGCACTGTGCAGTCAGTAGAATCTGTGAATGACGGGTTCAACTCCTACATGGTAAGTTAGTGTCAGCACCGTGTGCTCTTCAGTGGCCGCGTCTACACAAGACGCTGACTGCGCAGTTGTTACTGCATAGTCGTTTAATACTTACATACCCAATTACTAAATGACTGCGCAGTAACCGGCATTACTGTGCAGTAGCATCCCCACACAGCTCCCTGGTGACACTGACTGTGCAGTAGCTCATTATTACTGCACAGTAGTGTTGTGTCACAGTTGGTGCCCCGTGATGCTGCTGCACAGTAGTAACGAGCTACTGCTCAGTAAACATCTTGTGTAGACGTAGCCAGTGTCTTCTGTTCCACAGAGGAGAGAAAACTGCTCCATCTGCTAGCTAGAAGACATACGGCTCAGTGAAATCAATGGGAGCCTTGTCTTTGGTTTCAGCAAAAGCAGGCCTTAGGGTTTGTTGATGTAGAGACATTTTTTCCAGGAAAAAATAAGCTGTGAATTCAGAGCCCAATCACTTTTCCAGGGTAGTTCCCTGACATACGTTTGTCCACACTGGGAACAACCCCAGAGCTGCTACTCTGGAACAGCTGTTTCAGCCAGTATCCCCAGGCAGACCAGCCTTAGCCTCTCCATGGAAGTTCCTGGCTCAGCCCCTGGTGATCACCAATGCAATGACCACAGCAATTAGCCAGCCTCCCTCCACTCACAACTGAGGGTTAGTTTGGCTCCTGACACAAAGTTTCACTGATGGAAGTGGCAGCTCAGAGCAGCCCACAGAGAGTTGGATGCTCGGTGAAAGCTGAGCCTGGGAAACTTGAGCTGGAAACGCTGCCAGAACAGGATTTTTCATGAGACTTCTAATATTTCCTGCTTCCCTTTGCTGGGAATACCATTACAGTAGCCTCACACTGTATTTCAGGCACAGCTGAAGCCTGGATGTGCAGTGATGCACAAGAAACAGAGTGACCTTTTCTCCCATCTCCCACTCAGCTTGCAGCTATCCTGCGTGAATTCCCCCACCCCTGGTTGACTCTACTGTGTTCTCGGAGCTCAGTGAGCCCTTTTGGTAAAGACCCTGGAACCATTTTGGTACCGATCATTATTGGGGCAGTGCAACATAATCACAGCGGACTGAAGAAGCTCTTTTCTGAGCTTGCAGAGCTCCTAAACGTGTATTCCCGTCATAAGGAAGGGCTTGGGTCTGGAAATTCAGAGTATCTTCTCAGCTCCCAGCACTTGACACTGGAACTGCTGAGCTGCAGGAACTGAGAGAGGCAGCATTACATGTAGAGCTATGGCAGGGAATCTTTGGGTACCTGTACGTGTGCGGGGAGGCTGCTCCAATGGGCTGTAATTACAGCACATCGGATCAGACTCGAGTCTGCTGGAGTGTGCTAATTAGCACGCTCCAGCCAGCCTCTGCGTCTCATGTATCAGCATCCCCACAGTTCAAAACAATGACAGGGGCACTTTGGCTCGCTCAATGAGCTTTAGTCCAAATACCCCTGCTGCCAGTTTGAAGCATCAGGATGATGATACGCAAGACACTGCAAGCACTTTCGTTAGAGCAACTCTTGGAGCTGCTCTAATTAAAGCGCTCTCCCCACCCCTGGTGCACGTGTGAAAATGCCCTTTAATGCTGCCCCACCTCAGAACACAGGTCCATGCTGGATAATGATGACAGGAAGGCTCCTCACCTGCTGTGCCTCACTGACTATCCTCTTGACCACTCACACCTTGTGTGTTTTCCAGCAAGCCAAAGCTGCCATGGCTCGCTCCCACAGCACTGACTCAGAGGACAATTATGTCCCGATGAACCCAGGTTCCTCATCCCTGCTCAGCATGGAAAAGACAACTGACAACGCCCAGGGTCTCTACATCCCAATGAGCCCGGGGCCGCATCACTTGGACGTACTGGGACTGTCCTCGGCCACCCTCCCAGTACACAAAGGAGGAGCCATTGCCCAGTGTCACAGGCGGCTGAGCGAAATCCAGCCCCCTCCAGTCAACCGCAACCTCAAACCCGACCGGAAAGGTAAGACTGACTGCTCAGATGAAAAGACTAGTGCCATGTCTGCAGGTACCACTATAATAATTAGACCTTTGGTGCTGCTGTAAGCTCTGACTGGTTAATGAATCAGTCATTTAAATTCACCCTTTGATAAGAGACGGTACCTTAGAGCACCGTGCACAGTTCCATCTTTTGATGCAGCATCCCCAGGGCAGCTGCTGCCTGTGTGTCTCTAGGCCCAATCCTTTGAGGATGAACTGGAGGAACCACTGGCTTTTTCCTTCCCTGGGAATGATGCATTTGAGGTAAGGCAGGTGGGGGCTGAGGAAGATCATACTGCTAAGACATTGTTGAGGTGTGGAAGTACCAGGTGTTAGACTAAGAAGACCCAAGGGAAGATAGCTAGCTTACAGAAAGGAGAATATGGAAATAAGAACAGAGGTCCTGATCAGTGGTAGGACAGCATGAAGACGGTGGGTTTAAACTGACAGCCAACACTGCATGAGGATGTGGCCAAAGAAGGAAAGGACTGGGTGTTTGTTCTGCAGGAAGTGAGCCCGCATGATTTTCATCTCCCCTCCTTCCCCAGCCTTAACATCTGTGCAGCTCTGAGATGCCAAGGGAGTGAGGGTGAAGTTCAAGTGGCAGGTGGTAGCCAGCACCTAAGAGAATGAGAGCTTTGCCTCTGGCTCCGACAGTGCTAATGCCCATTGAGAGACCACAGGCCTGGCCTTCCAGCTGGGCAACAGGGCATTTGCCATGGTGCCCATGCTGAGTAGGGCCTTGCACATTGGGCCCAGACATGAAAATCCATTTTTTTAAACTCTGAGGCTAAGTCGCTTTTGCATGCTTTGTACCTTGATTGGTTTTGGTAAGATACATTTGCACATTTGAGTGGCAGAAATACACGCTGTGGTTCTGCAGTGTTTCATTGCAACCGCACTGACCTGCTGACATCACCAATTGTCTGGCCTCCACATTTTACTTCTGCCCAGGGCCCCACAATCTGTGAAGCCAGCCCTGATGAGAAAGACTCTGTTATGACTGTCAGCAATTCCCCTTCCATCTGAAAAGCAGCATTCACCTCTCCCTTGCAGCAGTGCAGGGAGCTTTCATAGTAGAAGGCAGATTTCCTGTGAAAATCCTACCTGGGGAAAACGCTCTAGTCAAAGATCATTGCACTTCAGTGGCGTGCCGATAAGATTATTTGTGGACTGATGAGATCGATAGAGTGAGGCTTTCACGGATCCAGTGGAGCATTAGGAGGACTTTAAGCCTTGCTTAATAAACAGCACATTTGGACATTTTTAATTAATAGCATTCACCCCCTCAGGCACCCGTCCAGTGCCATTCCCTCTGGAGTCATTGGGAGCTGTGTGTGCACATTGGACGGAGAAGTCTGTGTTCCTGGCAAGCCCAAGGTGCTGTGTGGGTTGACTGATGTAAAAGCTGAAACCAGTTGCTGAAAACAAGTAGCAGATCACCTTCCTGGCTAGGGATGTCATTGCACTTTGTCCTTTTTAACACTTAGAGTGATTCTGGGCCCGAACATGTTCTCTGCTAAATAAAAACCTCTGTGCCATTCTAGCAAAGCCTACGCCTCTGGACTTGAGGAACAATGCTGTCATCGACGAACTTCCCTTCAAGTCTCCAGTCACCAAATCCTGGTCCAGACCAACGTGAGTACATGGAATCTTAATTCTTGTCCTAGGACAGATTCAGGCCACATTTACATCACCGGAGCCAGTCTCCTTGCCTTGCTCAGCTTCCATGTGATGGACTTTAAAAGAAGATGGAAAGCAGTTTCTTTCCCTACTGTTGCTGTTAGAGGGATGCGTCTTCTATCTTACAAGGCTTGCATTTGAGTCCAAGCTAGAAATGGGCCTAAGTGGAGATAGTCAGATCTGAATCTAAACTTCCCCAAATATTTGAGGAGCTCTGGATCCCAGGTTGTAGGCTGGTCTATTAGAACAGCCTACATCAGAAGACCCACAAACTTCAGGGATGTTAAGATTTGGATCCCAGCTTTGCTACTCTGTCCTACCTACCATGAGTATGAACAGGGAAGTCCTGCAAAGTTTGGATCTAAGTCAGACTTTCTCACATCATGGAAGCATTGAGGGCTGAGGCCCCAATCTGGGCCTCATATTTAGCCTTTTCACTTACAGTGAGACACAGAATAGTATTTATTAGTATTCCAGCTTGGGCTGTAACAATCAGATACCTTGAATATGTGGGGAACTGCCCAAATTCCATGCCAGCATCCAGATATTGCAAAGTAACCCATTAAATGTCCCTTGGAGAGGTTTATCTTTTTCATAATTGCAAACAATCCCAAAAGCGAGGCAGTCGAAACTCAGAGCAGACATGGGCTTCGTAGCACATATGAGTGAACCCAAACTCAGGTGAACCTGAGGGTCAGTGTGTGATTTCAACCCAAAACCATCTGAAACCCCCAGTTTCAGTGCAAAACAGGTGGCACTCAAGGATGGTTGTGATCCCCAGAAGTGAAGTGAAGCTGTGAAGAACTTCAAAAACTGAAGCCTCAAAGCCTCATACCAACTTCCTGTAAGCCAGGTGTCAGCAAAATATGGCCTACAGAGCCACTGGATATAGCCCATGGAGACTGGAGACGAGAGCTTCAGCACCGTGTCAGAGGCGGGGAGGCTCTGCCCATGCTCATGCAGGACCCAAATAGTCAGAAGTTGCCCCAGGGTCAGGCAGTGGGGAGCTGCATCCACACCACAGCTTGTGGAGGAGAAATGGCTGCAGGGGAAAGCAACAGTGGCAGAAGGGCTGGAACTACCCTGCCTTGGAGCCAAGTGGCGTTGTTGCAGCCCACACCTCTGAAAAACTGCCAACTACTGCTGTAAGCCAAAAGCAGCAGGATTTACACAACTCCAGTTCTGCTGCTAACTCAGAGCCTAACATCTTCCAGTAGGAGAAATGAGCAAGGCTTGGCTCTTATGACCATGCCAATAAATTGGATTGTGTGGAGACCACCTGCAGGGCCTGAGAGCTGTGAACGTGGGTCACCACACTAGGAAATACATAGTTCAGAGCGAGGGTGGTTTGACTGACAGTGTGTCCAACCATGCAGAAGCTAATGGTTTTCTCTCCTATCAGCTAATCACATGGCCCTTCCTCTACTGCAAAGCACCCAGTATCTTTTTGGAAGACACGAGCTATCCTACCAGGCTCTGATCACATTATGTTATGCTACATAATTAGATTGGGTTGATTGAAAACAAGATGATGCCTTCAAGGCTATGTTTTCCAGCAAAATTCAGATAGCCCACTGCACAGTAATCAGAGGCCTGCAGCTGTGATTAGCAAGGAGCTAGTGCAAGCCAAATGCTGTAGCTCCAAGGAGCCTGGCTTAATACACTATGATAAAGGGATTATAATTAAATACTTCCTGTGAGATGAAAGAGTTTATGGAGCCTGGATTCAAGCAATGTGATAGCAGGGTAGCTAAGGATATGTAAAGAAATAGGATGCTATTAACTAGACATGACGCAAAAGTCAGATTTGGAACCCCCAATGCAACGGAGAAGGTTGGCTCGTTTCTGTCCAGACCAAAACCAGCACCTGAACCCCACAGAGTGCAGGGAGGTTTTGATTTGGATCCCAGATTTGCTGTCACCCCTGTAGTGAGGGTGAACAGGGAAAGCCCTGTGTCTCTTAGTGACATGTGGAATCCTCTCATTACAGCCAGACTTTCAACTCGGGCTCTTATCAGTACTGCCGCCCTGTCTCCACCCAGAGCATCACCAGCACTGACTCAGGAGACAGCGAGGAGAATTACGTGGCCATGGTAAGCCAAGCCCCCATAGGATGGGCAGTCAGCTGAGACTTTCCACCAAGGCTCCAGTGCTCTATGAATACAAAGTGCTCTAGGTGGCCTTAATGACACCACGTGACAAATGTTGCACATATACTTATATGGGCCAGTGGGTGGTTGTGTTGAGTGTGGCATTCGAAAGCGCTATTCTGCTAAACCTCCCATTTGGTCTTCAGTTATTATTTGTATTTGGAGAGCAGAACAGGCTCTCACCTGCATTCACCCAGTTCTCAAGAAGGACCTCCCACCTGTGTGTCCCTCACTTCATTACATTCCCCTCCACAACATATCCTGGGCCTCTCTAGGCCACAAAGGACCAAGAACTCTGTGATTTTCTTTTGCCCCATGTTGTATTTCACCCATTTTATTTTGGGGAGCATTGTTTTGGTCCTGCTCCCACACAGAGTGCTGACACTGCCATTTGTGTTTGAGGCAGGTGTGTAACCTTAGGCACATAAATAGTCCCATTCATAGCAGTAGGGTCTCATTGTGATTGCCACAACAGCACAACTCAGGCATGTTACTAGAGAGCTAGGAGTGTAAGTTCAAGTTGGACAGGTATTGAAAGCTGCTGCCAGTCAACCCAGCTCAGAGTGTGAGCACCTGCCCTTCACTCTGTGGAACAAAAAGTGGCTGAAGGTGAATCTGGTCATTGACTACAGATACTAGCAAGCCTTAAACTTGGTAACCCAAGTTACTGTCCCGGCTGAGGACAGTCCTTGGATCCATCTGGAATACCATTGAAGTAAGGGAGTTTGCTCAGGTGCATGGAGTCAGGCATTTGCTTACGGGATTTGCTGCGCTGGGCTACAGAACAGCATGTAACTCAACCTGCTGATGGTCCTTGCCCCTCTTTGAAGGGAGGTCCTGCTCTTGCTCATTTAGATTAATAGATTTCATAGACATTAGGGCTGGAAGGGACCTTGGAAGACCATTGAGTCCAGCCCCCTGCCCCAGGGGCAGGAAGTCAGCTGGGGTCACGGGATCCCAGCAAGATATACGTCCAATTGCCTCTTAAAGGAGTCCAGAGTAGGTGCTTGCACCACCTCTGGCGGCAGTCTGTTCCAGGCCTTGGGGACTTGGACAGTAAAGAAGTTCTTCCTTATGTCCAGCCTGAAATGGTCTTGCAGGAGTTTCTAACTGTTCGACCTCGTCATTGCATGGGGCGCTCTAGTGAACAGCTGTTCCCCCAGATCCTGATGTACACCCCTTATATACTTATAGGCTGCTACCAGGTCACCCCTGCGCCTGCACTTCTCCAGACTGAAGAGTCCCATGGTTCTCAGCCTCTCATCATAAGGCCTGTTTTCCAGCCCTCTGATCATGCGCGTGGCTCTCCTCTGGACTCTCTCAAGCTTTTTCACATCCTTTTTGAATTGTGGAGCCCAGAATTAGATGCAGTACTCCAGCTGTGGCCTCACCAAGGCTGAGTATAGCAGGAGGATGACATCCTGGAATTTGCTGGAGAAGCATCTGTGGATGCAAGCCAGAGTTTTGCTTGCCTTGCTGGCTGCAACATCACACTGATGGCTCATATTCATCTCGTGGTCAATCATGACCCCCAAGTCCCTTTTGGCCATGGTGCTAGCGAGCATAGCACTGCCAAGCCTATATGCATACTGCAGGCTTTTCTTCCCAAGGTGAAGTACCTTGCATTTTTCAGAGTTGAAGGCCATCAGGTTTACATCCGCCCATTTTCCAAGCCTGTCAAGGTTGGCCTGAATCATCATCCTAGAGATCATTTAGATATCATTGGGAGTTCATTTTAAAGGGCCACAAATGCATTTGTGTGGTGAATATGTTTAGGTCCCCCCTGCTTATTCTCCTCCTTGCACTGACCATTCCTTTCCCATCTTTTTCCTGTGTTAGCAAAATCCAGTATCAGCCTCTCCTGTTCCTAGCGGCACCAACAGCCCAGCACCAAAGAAGAGCTCAGGGAGCGTGGATTACCTAGCCCTGGACTTCCAGCCAAGCTCACCTGGGCCACACAGGAAGGTAGATGGGGTGTTTCTAACCTTTGCAGTAAAACTGGTGTGTTTTTAAGGGTTTCAATCCATGGGAAAAAGCACGTGGACCAGGTCTTCCACCAGAGATTTTCATGAGCAAAGGAGCTGCATCCTTTTAAATCAGCTGAGGATCTGCCCAGATCTGGATCTAAGCCAGATCCAGCCTTAATTACAGACCTGCAGCCCCATGGGAGGTATAGGTGAAACACTGGAGTCAGTCACTGGTGGCATGGTGGTTAGTGAATGGAGATTTGGCTTGCCTGCTGTAGTCCTCTCCAGTGCTCCTGTTGAAGCCAGAGCCACTCTGCTTCCAAGACTTATTTAGCCAGAGCAGGAGCAAGCAAAAGAGGACCTGACTCTCTAGCCTGGCAAGGAGGTTGAGATGTGGCAGCCTCAAGGCTTTGGTCCTTGCTCCCAAGGCTGTTTATGCAATTTGCTTTCAACAGAGCTAATGTATAGGAGTGCTGGGGAGGTCTCTTCCCCCTCACAGCTGAGTGCCCTTCTCACTGGGCTGTGGTCAGGCCCTGTCTTTCTTGCTGTGTCTCAGACCCCAGACATCTCTTCAACAGCAGCGACAGAGGGCACCCACACCCCAGCCTGCCCCTCAGCATGGTGACTAGGGCACACTGGGAGGCTGCGGAGGGCCTGAAACCAGGGTCTCTCACTCCCAAGGTGAGTGCTCTAACCACTAAGCCACCATGTAAGATGTGGGCATCACCAGCAGCTCTGTCTACAAGTAATTAGTGTCCAGACTTAGGTACTTATGCCCTGAAAAGGTTCCCCAGCTCATAGAGGCACCTACCTCGGGACTGCAAGGAAGTGCCTAAATGAAAGAGAGAAGCGGGATTTCAGGCACAGCCATCTCTTCAGCATTCAGTATTGGCTGACTTAGGTCTTCCCCAGTTCACCACTTTGGTTGCAATGACTCCTAGTCCAATCCTAGCTCTCTTGGTGCACTATGCAGGGAGCCTGGGCCACTAACTTGGGTTTGGGAATTCACTGTGGGAGGTGGGTGCTTAAACATTAGGTGCAGGAGTGCTGAGCTGCTCCCTGCCTTAGCCCCTTTGTGGCTGTGGGCCCAGAGTCTCAGCCTGCTGCAGGGAGTGAGAGCATTTTCATCCCAAAATTTTAAGAGGAGCTCTGAGCTGAGAGCAAGGCACCCAGTAGTCACCCCGGTGGACATAGTGATAGTGTAACGAGGGTAGGGTCAGTGGGGCACCTGCCAGCATCCCAAAGCACTCCTCCCTCCATCTCTCTGGTGCTCAGCCTCCTCTCTGCCCTGCTTTCCAGCACCTCTGCCCAGGGTGCTGAAATGGCTAGTTACACCTCTGGGACTTAGGCACTTACGTGCGATTCTCTTCCACTTTGCTCAAGTCTTCGAAAAAAAAATGAATGCACCTATTTTTGTTACATGCCATTGTCTCAGTCTTAAGACTGAATCACAGAGAGCAGTGAGGAAAAGGAGAACCGCCTCTCCCACCTTTTGCATTAATAGCTTCTTACAAACTTGAGCAGGATGGAATAGGATCATGCCTGAGTGTCTGAGTTCACATTTGCTGCACCTAATAGGTGGAACATAATCTGGCCTAGAGTGTACTGGTGGTGTAATTGTGGCAGGGATACCACAGACAGAGATGCAGAGGAGAAGGCTAAAGTAGGCTTACTGGTGAGCTATAGCCAAGACAAGGCCCCAACAGCAAGGCAGCGAGTGGAGCTAGCTTTGCAATCTGCCAGTCACTCTGCCTTCTCTCCCCTGCCCAGCCCTCCACATCCTCTGCTGCCTCGGACGAGAAGGTTGACTACGTGCAGGTGGACAAGGAGAAGACGCAAGCCCTGCAGAACACCATGCAGGAGTGGACCGATGTGCGGCAGTCATCAGAGCCCACCAAGAGCACCAAGCAGTAACGAACAGGCAACACTGACACCCAAACAGGCAAATGTCCACCCAGGTGGTTTTCCAAGGCTGGGCCCCTCTCCAGCAATGCAGCTTCAGAGTGTGGCTACTGCCAGTGTGGTCTGGAGTCTTATTTTTCAAACACAACCTTAATTTCAGGGGAAGACTAGGCAGATGCTGTTTGCCAGGGGTATGGACCAACTCTTCTAGGTGGCTGAGTTCAGGCTGTTACTTTAGCTGCTGGATGCACTGTCCAGGATCTTAAACTTAGCAATACTGGGTTCACCAATGCACGTCTTTTGCTTTCAGCTGTTACTAAATCCACCTCATACCTGTTAACACGGAATAATCTCTCTCAGTCTTCTTCCATGTCATATGCCCAAACTGTGCCAAACATGTGCTGGTTTGGGGGTACATTTGCTGGGTCACAGATTTTCATCACAGACTCTGGGCTGGCCCAGCTCCCTGAACCCCGTCATGTGAAGATGGGCCACCACTAGTGCTGATTTGTGTTTGTTTGATCACTCAATTGTAAATACTCTTCCACATCAGGGAGCACAACTTCTGTGGACATGGTTGTGGCTGTTCCCCTCAGCAGCTTGCCTACTGCCGGGGCTGACTGACTGGTTCGAGACAACCCTGGATCTCCATGTCTGAATTACCTCCTGCCACACATCCAAAACATACATGCTGCCTGGGAGCCTGGCTGATTTTCCAAGGGGTTGTTTCCTTTTCCAAAAGGCACTATTTATATTTAATCTCTCTGAGGAACAATGGTGTTGGAGGGACCACCTTGTAAAGGCTGAATTAAAGGAGTAAAGGCCTGACACACTGCCCATGTGAAGCCCATTAGATCTAGGTTTGGGCCTTAAGAGCCAAGTTTTACCATCAGTCCCACTAGGAGACAGTCCTACTTCTGTTGAAGGACTGACTACAACTGAGGTGGGAAAAGGCTCTGTTGAATCTGTAGGGGGTATTTGGGTCACGTGGCAGAAACATAGCAAGGGAAGGGTCTGGAGAAACATAGAAAGGGAGGGAAAGCATGGAACGATGTAGGGTCTTTGCAGAGAGCAGAGGTAGAGATACTATAATGGAGTTAAATAAATGTGCCCTAGGCTAATGATGAGATCTCAGACTGAGGAACAGTCTCCCCAGAGGAGTCAGAACAGTCCTCTCGTGTGAGTAGTAGTTTAAAACCAGTGTTAGAAAGCGTCAGGGTCTTGAGGTCATCCTCCACGTAGTTGCCAATCTCAGAGGACTAAGCAGGAATGCAGACTTTACTGCACAGATAATAATCCACAGTCCCATAAAAATATGAAAGAGCAACCATTACCCTTGAATGATTAACTCACTAAGCAGAATGCCAGAAACACTTAGCACAGACGTGGACAAAGAGCACTGCTGTGACCTGAGAACTGACAAAGATCCTCTAGAAAGGGTAGGTTAATAAACATGATCATTCAAGAGCTCAGATAACCTGTTCTTCCACAGCCACAGCTCCTTCCACTGGCTCTGAGCACAGGCAAAAATAACTGTTTGGAGTGGGGGATTTCGGATTCTAGCATGAAGCTTTCAAAGGAGCCAGCAGCCCCCATCTCCCACTGAATGTCCTAATTCTGCCCTGGCTGCAAAAGCTACAACATAGTGATCATTGCAAGGCTGTTTCTGAAATGACAGTGGTAACAACCTGTTCTTTGAACGGAGCCAACAGCGCTACTGTATGTACGCTAACAGAGTGCCTATAATGCTGGTAGGGGGCCTAGAGGCTCAGCATGCAAATATGAGACTCCCCACAGCACACTGCCTCCACTGTTGGGCTGAATGCATGTGAAACCACAGCAAACGTACAGCACCAGCAGTAGGGGCAGAGTGCAGACCTGTCAGCCTCAGAGCCACAGGCGTTCACCCCTTGAGTTACTGGAGTGATGCCGTTAGCAAGAAGCAGCAGGCTGCTGGGGCCAGTCACTAGTGGGAGACATAATCACATGCAGGAGACTTGCAAATCAAACCTTTTCAAGTTGTTATGACAAATTGTCTGTCGTGACAATTTGAAGGAGAATCACTGGGTTCTGTGGAGCTGTTGGTGCCAGCCCCACATCAATAACTGCATGTATAAAGGTTGAACTCTCCTTTCTCTCCGAGATAGGGCTGAGTCTGTTAGCATAGTGCCATGGGGGTGACCTGGTGCTGCTGCCCTTGCTGTACCCAGCCTGTTCATCAGTGCTGCACGCCTGTCTGCAGGGCTATATCTAGTCACAAGTATTACATAATTCTCATACTGGATTCACACAAAATATCTCCTCCCAAATGGATGGTGAACAGTACCACGTTCCCTCCAGAAAGGCAATAAGCTTCATCTCTGGTATCAGTCCATCCAGTGGATGAATGGCAGCACTCTGTGAAGTGGACTAAGCTAAAGCCTGTATCCCTGCTGATGCCATGTTTTGAGATAGGGTCTTGCTGTGAAATTAAACTCCAACCTCTCTTCCTGGCTGTGAAGGCCAGGGCTCTTTGTGCCCAGGCTTGTGGGTCCAGACCATTTGTTTGCTCTGAAGGATGCCTCACGATGAGAGGAAAAGCACTGAGCCGTCTTTGCGCACCGTGTATTTCTAGAACTGAAACGTTGTTCTTTGGTCTTCATTGGGACTCCACTGACTTTCACACAGTTACTTCTGCCAGAAACTTCATTGAAGTCACTCCTGATTTGATACCAGTACAAGCAGAAGGAGACTCACATGCATCCATTACTTAGACTCGCCGGGCTTTTTTATTCTGGACCATATTCCATCTTTCATGAGCACCACCGTGACGTCGGTGAGCTCGTTCTTTCCCAGTTTCTAAATAAAGTTCTGTTGAAGTCACCAAGCAAGTAAATAGTTATTGTTTGAGCATAATCTGAACTTCCAGGGCTTAGTTTGATTCTGCAATGAGCTTTGACCTGACCCATGTGGGTCCAACCATTGGATGCAGGTCCTTGAGACTATTAGGCTGTTTTGCACAAGTGTCCTCAACATTTACCAACCTAACCACATATGCTAGTATCCTGTCCCTTTAACAGGAATGGAGGGGTTGCCACTTAAGGGAAAGCCATAAGGAAATGTTAAGAAGTTGCCTTGAGGATATTTGCCAGAAAAATAAGGCAGGTATTGTGATGCACTTCATAAAAATCATCATCATCCTGGTTTTGTGCAGACAAAGTTACAAGATGGGTCCAGCAAAAACCTGTGCCTTCTGGAGGTCTGTGAGTGCTTTGATGCCAGCCAGCTACTTTTTCTTACATGGTGGGCCTGAAAGCTTTTTGCAGGGAGATGAGCATACAATTCATTGCATTTCTGTAGCCCTTCTGATGATAGTATGTTGCTGGATAATAAACAGTGGGCTTGATTTAAAGTCCAGGAAAACTACCAAGATTCCCATGGCCATCAATGAGACCATAAAAGGGATAGTGACAGCCCTGGTGGTCGAAATATTACAGCAGTGTGCTAGTGCCCGAGAACCAGAGACTGGATATACATGGAAGCAGAAGCTGAGCTAGCCACTCTCTCTGTTCATTGCCTCGGCTGACAGTAATCCAAAACATAACGGCAAAAGTGCTATCAGCATGAAAAAGCAAATTCGATCTTTACGAAGGAAGCAGACTTTTCAGTTTTGATGCTCTGAAATACCATTAACACGGACAAAGATTTGCTTTTTACAATATATGATTACTTTTTTCTCACACTGTCTCTCGGATAGCTTAGAGATGCAGAGGTTCACTTCAGACACCCCGGAGACGCAGCTACCTCTGGTGTGGAGTGCAGCAGTTATTTTCACAGCACAGCCACACCACCCTCCCATTTGAGCTGTAACTATTACAAAGCTGAAACTGAAGCCAGCTGCAGACAAACTTCCAAAACCTGGACCTCATCCAAAGCCCAGTAAAGTCAGTGGAAAGACTCTGATTGATGGGCCCCCAAGGGTCATGATTATTTTCCCTAATGTGAACAGAAGCTGTATGCATCTAGACAAGGATTCACCAGCAAATCAGAAATTCACTTCCTCTTTACATCTGCCAGGCTGGAGAGAAGCTGAACCTTCAAAGTTTCCCCATAATACGAGGCTGGTAGTGTCTATCTTGAAAGGCAGGAAGCGGGAAAAAAAAAGAACAGCGTGGGCTATTTGTGACCGAGGCTGGCGGCATGACAGACATGAGAGCATATGAGGTGTGCTGTGTTGCAACACAATTGTGCAGGTGATTTCTTCAATTCTCTACTACAATGGTTCAGCCAACTGCCAAAATGCCTGATGTATCGCTGCTGTGACTGACAGAAAGACAGAGTCAGAGATCAGAGTTTCCTGCGTACTCCCTGCAGATTTTTTGATGCATGTGTGTATGTGTGCACGCTGTTTTGTTTTACATTCAAAGTAGTTCCCGACTCCCTGGAGAGAAGGAAGCCCATTAATGTAGCTGACAGATCCCGTCTTGTGTCCCCCCTTCCCTCCTGCCAGCAGCTTTTCTGCATAGTTCCAAAAATAATGGTTCTGCCCCTCACCATATGAGGCCTGTTCCTTCACTGGTGAAGATCTGTACAGCTGGAACAGCTGCATGACAGCCTTATAAGGACATCTGGAAGTCTTGCTGCTACCTAACCTTCTTCCCTGGGACTTAAACTGCACTAAGGTGTCAGCTTGTGCCTTTAAAAAGCTTCAGGTGTGCAGCTCACCTGCTGAGCTGCAGCCTTACAGATCAAGCTGTAGATGCTCCAGAGATGCATCTTCATAATACCCAGGTCTGATTTTATAATCCTCCAGAGATGTTGCATGTTTATCTGTTCCAATGGGGCAGGTATGATAGAGGCTCTTGAGTAGGGGTGAATCACTACATTGCTTGCTTTGCCGTTGCTGTCTGCTCACCTCTGGCTCCTTGTTTGTATCCAGTTTCAATTCAGGGGTTAGCTATGAGCCTTGAAGTCCTACGTGAGGTGATGCCATGAACTCTTTTGTCCTGCCATAGTGGGAGAGGTCCCCTAGGTAGGTTTGGTCATCTGCCCCTGGCTGCTGAGGTCTCTGTATGTGCACATTGTCCCTGGAAGCTCTTCCCTTTTACAACCCATCAAAGTTTGAGTTTGCAGGTGTCTTGGATAATGTGTCAGTGCTTTGGTTTGAAGTTGGGTTTGATATGACAGGTGCAGCCCCCCTTTCCCAGCCTGGACGCATTATCTGGTGACTTCCCCATCTCACTGCAGTTGTTTAAAGATTTTTCCATCTCTCTGTCCCTGTGAGGGTTGCTCTTTAACAAGCTCTTCTTCCAAACATGGCTTTTGGGGCCTGGCTCTTTACATTTGGTGGAGCTATTCAGATGCCTCCCTGCAGTGGCCATTTTGCACCCTGCCAGCTGGGGGTAGCTTCTCTCTGCTAGACAGGTGGGATGTTCCTCAGACACTCCTTGTACAGCACCAGGTGCATAGTCCACACATACTGCCCAATAATCTGCATGAACCAGGCACTGCCCTGCCTGGCCTTCAAGGAAAGCTACATTTAGCAGCCTGGCCAGATTGAACTTGGGACTTACTTCCTGATATGAATGACAGCTGCTTTTATATTATATAAAAATATAATTCCTTCTGGTTGGTTATCTGAGTAGCCTGCTCCCCGTTGAAAGATGCTCATACAGCATTTATTCCAAATCCAGACTGAAAAACAGCTGTTTTAAATTCATGGGACATCTATGACTTTGGCCTGATGGCATAAGTGTCTTGCGTCTAGTGTCTACTGGGACATTCAAGCCAGACTGGCTCTTTGGTTAGATATGTATCTTGTAACAATCCTAGCACAATGCGAATGATTCATCTTTAATCCCAAAAAAACCTTGCCTGAGGATCTCTTGTCAAAGCCTTCTGTACATCTTTACCAGTCCATCTAGAAAAAATGTATATGGGCTCATGTTGATGGAGATAGGTTGGATTTCTACCAAATGCCGTAACATTTTCTTACATTCATCATGTGACAAGCTGATAACATCAACTCCTCAGCTGCACCACGCTTTTCAAGGAAGCCTGTAATGGATGTGTTTGAAGTTGGAAATTCAGCATTTAGCGAGAAATAAATTACTTGCTGCTATTAATGGATTCAGTTGCCAATATTAGGCTTGGAGTCAAGTAGAAGAAAGGCAATGATGAGCATATTGGAGACAAGATGATTGACTCTCACAGAGCAGAGTGCTCACCCTGTGCCGCACGGGGAAACGACATGGCCTGATACAGTACTCCCAAAGCATACAGTGAGCCTGGGACCCAGGTGCGCCATATGCCTGTCGAGCTCCTGTGCCTGGTCCAGGCCTTCAAGCTGTGAAGTGTGAGCTGGTCCTGCAATATCCAGAGAGCAAGCAAAGGGACGTGCCAGAACAGCATAGAAGCGGCCTCTCCAGGAGCTGTGTGCACATTAAATGTTGCATTCAACCTAGGACGAGACAGCACCACCACCAAGCCCAGGCTCCGATAGGGGCTCCTCTGCTTCACCCACTTGCCTGCGAGGAAAGGGAGGAAAGTCAGTGAGGCTCCATCCCCCCCTTCTGAACACGAGGGGGCATAGAGGAACAGCTCTGCCCTGCCTCTGCCCTGGCAGTCAGCAGCTGGGAAGAAGTAACACTAAACCTAGACCCGGACTAAGAGGGGCCTCTCTGCCAGAATAAACTCTGTGCCACATCATGCCATCACTTTAGTATACTTGCATCTGCAAGACAGAGAAGGACTGGGTGTGAAGAGGTCTGAGGTGGACCAGGCACTTGCTCGTCCTCCCTGTCCTCCTACTTCCTCTTGTGCGCCATGAAATTGGGGCCTGCCTCAGTGACGTACTTTGCGATGCACCGATGGAAGTCTCTGTGGCAAGGCTCAGCGTTATGCTGAATCACCTGTTGCATCAGTGTGTGATGCGCTGTGAGCCGGGAGCATCAGGATGTGAAGGCAGAATACCAGGGCCACAATTATATCATGATTCCCTGCAGCTCCAGCCAGTTCTCTGGTGGTAGCTCTCTGATGACCCGTAATGTCACCTCTTGGAAATGAGATGTTAAGAGCCAGGTGTTAGCATGTTTTACTGCAGTGAGTTTCAGTACTTTAAACCAGGGAAAAATCTGTGGCATCTCTGGGCCATTCCTTCTTCCGCAGCAGCGAGAGAACTAGCTGGTGTCTGGAGCAACTCAGCCCTTGTGTTGTTTCAATGTTGTCTTTCCCTACCTTGTTATAGTGCCCATCCACTGAGAGGATGGCATTCAAACCCAGGTCTGATGACTTTGACTAATGCCTTGTAGTGGTGACCTGAAGGTGGCAAGGTACATAGTTCAGATGTGGATGTGGAGGTCCCTAAAGCCTGTGATGGGAGACAGGTTGTGTAACCTTCTACAAAGATCCCTTCCACCGTCCTGACTAGTCTTGAAACAGCCAAAGTAAATCTTGCTCTCAAATTGTTTAATCCTGGTTGTATACTGAGACAAAGGCATGCTGGGATAGCACTGGAGTGAAGCACAATCAGTGCCTTCTATTAACGTACCCCACTGGCAGGTCTCAGTGCTTCGTCGGAAGGAGCTCTCAGCGTAAGGGCTGTCCCGTAAAGATGTGTGTATCTGAGCTGTGTTTAGTATCATCCAAGAGTCACCGCTGGCATCTGACCAGACCCTGGGTAGAGCTCTTCAGTGTGAAGTGCACATAACAGGAAAAAAAGGTCTGAATAAAAGCAGTAGCTTGAAACAGAGCTAAAGTAAGCCTACCTGCTGTCAAATCAGCCATTAATTTTAGCTCATATATTTGAAACATGGCTGGTCCAGTGTGCCAGTATGTAGTGTCGCTGAAGCACCAAGATACTATCATTTGTGCATGGATATTGTGACTGTTAATGGTGCCCCCAGCATTTTGACCACTGTGCTTTTAGTTCTTCCATAGATGGGTGGAAAATTGGCCTTCAGTTTAGCCAGGATAATTGTGTCTTCTGTCAGCCTGTCCTCTGCCTGCTGTCTTCTGATCCTGCTTAGTTTCTTTTGATCTACAATTCCTTGGGATGTCATGTTGCCAGGGTCACCACCTTTGCTGTTTTCATGGGAAAGACTCGATACTGAGTGGGTCTAGGCAGACTTGAAGTGAAGAGGCCGTGAAAGTGTCATGGGATGTATCCCCCACTAGTCCTATTTCACCCAGCTGTGACATCCCCATACAGTTACATGACCCCATACAGTTACATGACCACCAGTTACAACACAGATGGTCAACAGCTGGATTAGAACCCAAGACTGTCATTTCTATCATTTGAGTGAAAGGAAAATCTTCATTGACTTGCTGGCAGTAGTAGGGCTCTTATATGTAGGGCCCATCTTTGGGAGGTGGTGGTATACGTTCATGATGACGCACATGCACACCACACCCTAGAGCTCTGACCACAAGACGGTGGGTCCTTCACAGTTCTTCTGCTGACTTGCTCTGTGGCTTTGGGTGGGTCATTTGACCTCTGTGTAACCCAATTCCTCTCATGTTTGCAAACTGAGGATACTAGTACTTGATGCCCTACCTCACAAAGGTGTTCAGAGGCTCCATCTATCAGTGTATGAAGATGAAAAGTGCTATTACGAGTCTGTAGGTTGCAGCCACTGTATGGCTGTGATGATGTGTTGCCATACCAATGGTCACAATATCATAATGAACCTGGGACATCCTGTTGTATAAAACCTATCAAAGGCACTAATCCTCAATTGTGGAGGTAAAGAAAGAGCATGTGTGCAGGGAGGGATTTGGTGGGGGGGAAGGTGTTTTGCACAGTTGTGAGTTTCTTTTATCATATCATATAAGAAACAAATGTTTGTCTCTATTGAGCAATGAATAATTCTTGGCTGGAGAGCAGTGACTACAGAGAGAGTAACTAGGGACTGGATCCTGCATGTAACTCGTGGGAGTTCTGCCAGTCACTTCAGGATCAAACCCTTAGAGCAATAGCAAAGGCTCAACCCAGCTCCCATTGAAGTTGACAGATGCCCATGGACTTCAATGCGTTAGATTGGATCTGGCCCACAAAAAGTAGGATAGGTTTTCTAACGGCTGTGAAGCATGACCAACAGCCTTGAAATTGTTGACCTGTAGCATATTTTCAGTGTGTTCTGAATCGTCTGACTGTTCTTAAATGGGGGTGCTGGGGGTTTTCTTGGTCTATTTGTAGAAGCCAGGAAGGATAAAAAAAATCCATGGCAAAATGTACAGTATATGTCTTCTGTTTGATGTCACTGTTTGAAATGGTTAGTAATTTTTCAAATCACTGTGGACCGCTAATCACTTAAATTATTAATTTATTTGGGGGGGTAATCTTTTTTTTTTTAAGAAAAAGAATAATTTGAAACAGTTATTTATCCTGTAAATTGGCCTTCAGTTTAACTGGGATAATACAGTTTTGCTGTTTAATAAAGGTGGTACATGCCTGAAGCAAAAATATTGTTTTTTATGTAGTGTATCATATAGCAGGCAAGCAACACAATAATAAAAAAGTAATAAAAAGGCAACCACAAATCCTGAGGTGTAAGCCGGTTTTGATCCGAAGGTTTAAAAAAAAAATGTGAGTTTTTGGCAAAATGAGACCTTCTTCCAACATGTGTGCTTCTAGGTTAGTCGTCACAGCACAAACAAGAGAGACTGTCCTTCTGATCTCTAGCATAATTGGTATCGTTCCAGTTCAGTTAATTAAGCAATGCCACTTTGCATCAGCTCAGAATCGGTCTGGGGTGCTGGATACATGCCTTGGTGTCATTCACACTGGTTTGATTTACGGGTGTAAATTGTACTAGGATCAGGAATACACTGATGAATACACCTACTTAAATCATGCTTTTGTGATTTGCACGGAAACGACAAAAAATGGCAGTTTTTTTCACGATTCACTGCAAAAAATGACATTTGCCACGATTTCCCACAGAATTGTTGGAAGAAAAATTAAAATGTACTGAAAATAAGGGAATGTGCCAGCTAATGGGGTGGCACGAAGTGGAGCAGCCAGGATGGTGGCCACCCCTTCATCCCTCTTCCCTTTCCAGGACCTCTCCACCAACTAGTGGTGAGGGGTAGGGTTGCATGAAGGGCAGCACTCTCCGCCAATCAGCAATGAGGGGTGGGGCCTGCAAAAGTGGCTCTCTGCAGCATGAGTGGTCATGAAAAACCCTTCATCTTGCCCCAATTTAGGTAGGCCGCTACCGTTGAACAACTATCCCAGGGTAGCTGCATGCAGAAGGAGGCTATTATCCTACCTCACCACTAGGGAAGCAAGTAACAGTCTGGTTTTCCTTATAGCAAAGGGCTACCCTAGGATGCATGTGGACAGATGACACCTAAACTGGTGCAACTTTACGCCAATTTAGTTTTACCCCCTGCCTGTTTCAGGGGTATTCCGTCACCAAATTGGTCGCAGCTACACCAGGGTAGGGATTTGTGTCTGCTGCTGCTCCTTTTTTGGAGTAAGGCCAATGACATTTGGATAAATGTGTCATCTGTTTGAGCCCCAAGCCTGAGAGTCAGAAGCCCGTTGTTCTAGTCCGGATTCAGACTGAGCGCCGAGCGTGACTTTGGACACACTACTAGAAATACGCCTGTGATGGCTCTTCTTCGATTCATGCAGTTGACTCATTAGTGGTAATCATAGACTCATAGAAAATTAGAGTTGGAAAGAACCTCAGGTCATCTAGTCCAGCCCCCTGCTCAAAGCAGCACCAGTCCCAACTAGATCATCCCAGCCAGGGCTTTGCCTTGCTGGTTCTTAAAAACCTCCAAGGATGGAGAGTCCACTACTTCCCTGGGTAGACTATTCCAGTGCTTTGCTGCCCTCCGAGTGAGAAAGATTTTCCTAATATCTAACCTAAACCTCCCTTGCTGCAACTTGAACCCATTGCTCCTTGTTCTGTCATCTGCCCACTGAGAACAGTCCAGCTCCATCCCCTTTTGAACCCCTCTTCAGGTAGTTAAAGGATGCTATTAAATCCCCCCTCAGGCTTCTCTAAACTAAATAAGCCCAGTTTCCTTCGCCTCTCCTCAGAAGTCATGTATCCCAGCCCCTGAACCATTTTTACTGCCCTCCCCTGGACTCGTTCCAACTTGTCCTCATCCTTTCTGTGGCGGAGCGGCCCAAAACAACACAGGACTCCAGTAATGACTTGTATTATCTAACTGGGGAGCACGCTGAAGTTGTCTGTTCCCCACTAAAGGTCTCTTCTCGCTACAGAGTTAATGTGGACAATTGGCACCTGGATTAGCCTAGCCAAATGATAAAGCCATGTCCAAAGTACCAAGGGCCAGATTCTGTTCCATTATTATGTGTCTAATGGACTTAAGCGCCTAAGTGCAACTCTGTTCCACCCTGTTCAAATGCCGAAAATCCACGAACGCATCTTCTTTCATAACTCACCATCCTCTGGCCCTGAAGACTAAGTCACAAAAAACCAGCGAGGAGAAGGACCCACCCACCTTTTGTCTTCACTGGTTTTCAGGGACTTGGGCGGGGTGCAACATTACCACATTTAGGCACCTAAGTCTACTTACATGCCTTATAGCTTGGCACAGAATCTGGCCCTAAGAGTTCACTTAGGAGGTACTTGGGGGCATCTCTTGCTGAGCTTTTGAGACCACTGCCATCGCCACCACACACCCCTTCTCTGACCACATCCCTTATTCCACAACCTCGCTCAAAAGAACAGGGCTTTGCTCCACCTGCTGTTGATACCAAGTGAGATTAGGGAATACCTTCATTACAGAATCCCCCTTAGTCTCCCACTGTAGATGTGATCCTTGCTGCCAAATACCATCTGGATACGGTAGCAGATGAATGTAAATAGGAAAGTAAGGCATAAGGGCTGACTTCTGATGGTGCTGCAGGCACTTACCAGTCCTGAAAGTCCAGCTCCTGTCTTGGGTGGGGGTGCCACCCTCTGAGCAAACCAAGACTATGCGAAGAGAGAGAGAGAAAACTACTGCACAGCCTTTGCTATCACAGAGCAGGAGGGAATGGGGCTCCAGGGTTTGGCTGCACACACATACACACACAAACTGCAAGCAAGCTGGCTGCAAAATGCAAGTATTTAAACATACAGCGCATCTGGCCATGAGATGCAGGCCTCAGATAGGAAGGTACAGAATTATAGAGGTGCAGGAGCTATGTGGGATCTATGCCTGCATGTTTTGGAGCTCAGGATGAAGCCCAGGCCTCTCTCTCTTGATAAAGTGGACTTTGTACTGGTGAAGTGCATCCTGGTGCTGATCTATGGGAAGGATATGGCATGGACAGAGTCAGCGTTAAGTTCCTCCCTCCCTGCCACCAATGTGCCTCAGTCTGTACCCTTGGGAGCTGCCTTGAGCATATCAGAGGCACCTTTCCCTACAGAGAAACACGGGGTTAAGGCTCTGAAGCAGGACTAAAAGGAAATTGCTTTAATTCCCAACTGTGCCACAGACTCCCTGTTTGGCCTTGAGTCATTTAAATCTCTTTGTGCCTCTGTTCTGTTAATGGGAATAATATTTCCCTTATCCCTGAAAAGTGTAAACTTTCCAGCACAAACACTCTGCCTCTTGCTATACATATGTACAGTCCCTAGCACAATAGGACCCAGATTGCAGATGACACCAAGGTGCTACAGTGCTATAAAGAAGAAATCCCAATGGGATTTTTAGCAAAAGGAAAGCCTTAGGCAGAAGCCTTACAACCTGGCCTAGCAGCAGCGGGCATCACCATCTTTTTTGTATAACTACAGACCTCAAGGCCATATTTTGTGCTCATTTACAACAGCATGAGTCTGACAGAATTCAACTAAAGTCAATGGATGCTCTCAGCCAGTGGCATTAATAGGGTTATAGCCCAGATTTACAGCAGTATAACACAAATTGGAATTTCCCCAATGAATGTAACTTGGTGCAGTTAATAAGCAATTTAGCATGAAGAATAGCCTTAATTTTGCCGGTCCTTTATTTATATCATCTGGGCCAGAGCAAGAGAAGACAGACCCAAAGTGTGGATGCTTTGCCCCTCCGTGCTTCTATCAATAATTTTGTAAAGTGCAGGGGAAATAATTAACATCACTAACTGGATGTGGCTGTCTGCATAGGCGCTTGAAACAAAGACAACAGCCCATTGTCAATAATGGTCCATTAGAAAAGACCCATTTGGTTTGTGGCAGAATTATAGGGATAGCAGGTATCAAGTCCTCTCTTCCTCTTGTTTTATTTTCAATTGCTTTAAATAGGGGGAAATAAATGCTTGGCTGGCTCTGCTCTTTATTGCAGAACTGAGTCAGGGTTTAATAATGATCGCTCTCCCCCTGTCCTGGCCTTGCAAAAGATGAGACGCATCCATGATCCTAAAACAGCCAGGTGCCTTGAGTCATGAGTCTTACCTGCCCCTGACCAGACCGTGTTGCTAATTTATCAAGCACATGCCCTGTACTGTCCCAGGATCACAGCCCTCATCCAGGACTCAGGTGCTGTCCAGGCGTAGTACATCAGCAGGCCAGGGCAGCCTGATAAAGTGTCACCAGAAGGGCAGCATTTGCTAGGGACACTGAGTGCAAAAGCCCACCGAGGAGGTGCATCATCAGCTTGTTCTACATTAAGGTATCAAGGCTTGAAGGCCTAGGAAAGGATGGGCCATTGCTCCATCCTCCAAGCATCCCAGTAACCTTGACTCGTGCTTCCACTCCCAGACAAAATAACAACCCCATAGACTCCCAGAGCTACGAGGCAGGCATGTTTCAGTGGGCAGAAACTCAATCTCTCTACCCAGCGCTCCCAAGGAAATGTAGCCAGACTTCCCTTACCCACACTAGAGCCATAGCAATTGCAACCAAGCCTCTGGTGTACCATTGTCATCACTGGCACATCTCTGATGAGAACAGGTTGAGGTCTCTGGAGCAGGCACTTGAACCTATGCAAACTAGGCATGAAATGGTAATGTCCAAACCAAACATCACTTCATACCCAGTTTGTGCAGGTGGCTATAGCAAGGGTGGAGGCATAGAAAATAGAGCAAAGCCAGCACCATTGCCAAGGGACCCCACTTTCCTTGTAAATCTGAGAGGAGTCAAAGCCCAAGATCTAAACAACCAGGCAAGCAGAGTTCAACCCTGGAAGGGGAAGGCATCTGCACCCAGAGAATGCTTTAAATTGGGGGTCAGCCAAGGGGTCATATCTGGCCTGTTAAGCGCCTGGATGTGGCCCGCAGAGCTGGAGAGATTTGCCTCTGCCTGTGTGGGGCTGGAAGCTGCACCTGCATTGCCACCGCTACTCCCTGCTCCCCAGCTGCAGCAAGGGTGCAGCTTCCAGCTGGTGAGCAACTGAGTCCCAGCGCGAGCACAACCAAATACCCTCCACGCCCCCATCCCACGCTGCTGACATGCTGCCAGAGCTGCACAGCCTGCGCTGGACTGGGGCCAGGCTGTTCTGGCCCATGGCTTCTAAAGGTCATCAGCCCCTGGTGAGGCTTGGATGCAGCTATAAGCCAAGCCTCAGGGCCCCTTTCTCCTGTAAGGACTGGCTTTGAGATAACTACAGTTCTCCACAACAAGCTCTCACTGTTATAAAAGGGAAAAACGCTGTGCACAAAAAGCAACATTTTCCAAAGCACCTTGATGACCTGAGAGCCTTCAGAGCAGCTTAAGCCTTCAGAAGTGCTGGCTTCTGTGCATCTCCGGTCATGGGCATCTGACTTTCCCTGTGTATGGTAGGGGCACCTCAGCATCTAGCACATGGCTATGAATTCCACTATGCAGCAGGGCACCCAAAAACTGGATGCTGCAATGTATGCCCATCCTAGCCCCTAGTGGGAGTCGCAGGGGAGATGCCATGTTTGCCCAGACTGCACGAAGCCTTTGGGAAGATTTTATTCACAAGTCAAGAGCTGAACACAGTGGCTCACGCCTGCATTTTGTACAAAGGCAAAACTCCCTCAGCCTCAAAACCTCTTTCGAGAGAGTGAGGAGCAGTCGCATGATAAAACAGCAAAGCAGCACGATTGGGAATATTTACAAGGCATCAGGTGATTAATAGCAGTACGAGCACAGCAGCATCTCCTCTTCTGAAGCACCAGAGTACGTGGGAATCGTAATCAGGCTCTGATACCTGTAGGAAATGCTAAGCATGCAGCAGTCCTTCATGAGGAATGATTTCCTTTCCTTTATCGCTACGAACACAATGAAGAACAGCAGTATAGTGCGTGATAGTAGCCAACTTGTTGCAGAATTTACCCTCTGTCATCATTCAACTTCAGTCCCGTGCTTTGCTTTCCATTCTGTGGATTCACAATATCCATATGCACCACAGCCATCTAGAGGAAGTGAAGGCAGGACCCTTTTTCTTGAAAGGCACAAGCCCCAACCATTGGAGACAGAGGAGTTGTCCCAGCAACTGGGCATAAGCAACAGGCTGCAATCGTTCTTAGTGACTGCAGGCCGAGGGAGCTGTGATCTCACACACACACACACACACACACACACACGGTGCATTGCACTGATATCCTATGTTCAAGTTGCCTAACTGCTAGGATATCAGATGGACCTCTGGAGATGGTGCAGCCTGCAGTCTTTCAAGGCCAAGTATTGCAGAAGGGACTACTAATTTGAGGTGCCTTCATTTGGAGATCCCCTACTGATGATGCCCTACAGAGAGTCCACAAGGAGAGGGTGGGTGAGGTGAGTTAATTAGGTCCTCCAAAACAACCTGCCCCAAAATTCATAGCTGATTCTGGAAGATCTTGGCCCTCCTTCAGAGGAAGGGGTGTGTAAGCACTGTAGACCTCCACATCCAGGTCCCGGCTTAGTTTCTTCCAAAGGCATCTTGATCCTCTGAGCCCCTCCTCATCGAGGTCCTGATTGATGGTTCCCACAGCAAGCAAGAGGAAGTGACCAGTTGGACAAAATGATACTTCAAGTCACCACGGAGCTTAGTAAATAGTATTCTGTTAAGGCATTTAGGATAAAGTGCATAGAAAGCAATGGGGCTCTCCTCACACCAGTACCTGGCAGCAATGCATTCCCTGAATTAGCAGCGAATCCTTCCTCCTAGGTGCAAGAATTCAGGGCCGGATCCCTCTCCACAGTCACACTGCCTGCAGTGAGGGTGTACAGCAGAGGAGACCAGCTTTTGTGGGCCCAGCTGCTTGCTTAGAAACAAAGGCTGAAGCAGAGCTTGTTGGTTATAGTCAGTGTCTGTTGCAGATGGTGTTCCTAGAAGACGAGGCCATGAAACGAGCCTCCACCTCCAGCAGCAGAGCCGCAGCCCCCTGAGGAGCCTTCATCATCCTTGTCCCTGTCAAAGTCTCTCCACCACAGGGGTGACTTGGGCAAGGCCGAGATATAGGCAGCTCTGTTTCTTGCTTCCTTTTCTTGCTCCTAGAAGGGATGAGAGGGTGGGGCGGAAAAAGCAAAACAGGCCTGCTTATTTGAAGCCAACATTTCAGTGGCAGCAGAGGATGTTATATGAGGACCATGTTTGAGAAAAAGCTCCCAAGTTTACTAGACAAATCAAAAGGAGTCCCCACTGCTCCTGGACTGAGCCCCCATCAGGGAGTAGCCCTACACCAGGAAAAGTATGTGGCCTGCTGGACTGAGGGAGGGACATGGGGTCAGGACTCCTGGGTTCAGAGGGAAAGACAGGCTTTAATCAAGACGACAGGGTAGTCTGGGTCACCGTCACAGTCTGTGATGGACAGAAGAGAAGGAAACCTAGATAAAGCCACCCTGCCTCCCCGACCTGCAAGGTGCTGAAGGCCCTCAACTCTGTTTCAAAACAAGGGGCTGCCCCTATGTATTTGTGCAGTGCCTGGCATAACAGGGCCTGACCCCAGCTGGTGTTGCTGCAATACAAGCAGTCCAGGGGCTATTTATTTTGGGATTTGGAAGGGAAGAGCAATGCAGCTTTAGGGAGCTACCCGTGTCATTGTAGGGCTCAATCCCACAGCAAACAAGGCCAAGTGAAACACCATCACTGAGTCTCACACAAACAGAATCGGTCCCCTGAACATGGTGCAGACATGAAGTGACATTACCTGCAAATACAGGATGTTGTCTTTGGAAATGGCTTCCATCAAGTCTTTATTGAGCGAGGGCTCCCCATGCAGCTGGACAGCATCCGAAGCCTCCGCGTACATTGTGCAGCTCTGCTTGCCTGGCCTCTGCTGGTAGAAGAGCACATAGGCAGTGTCTTTGGGGAAGAAAGAGGTCACATTGCTGACAGATTCAAAGGAGGAGAAGGAGACTCTGGTGTCATTGAAGAGGTACCACTGGATTTCAAAGTCCAGCTGCTTTTCAGAGGTGGCTTTCTGAGCCCCATCCCGTGGCTGTGCCCTGGCACCTGTATCAGTACCCTCCCGGGAGTAGCAGTAGTAGTGGCCACTCTCAGAGGAGACCCCAGAATGAACCACCACACTGCAGAGGTCATACACCACAGACACAAAGCCAGTCCCTGATGCAGCCCTCTCCTGCCTGGGAGGGCAAACATCATCCGGTTCCTCTGACGCAACCAGAACAGGTAGCTTCAGCACCAGTGGTATCGAGACGTTATCCAAGATCTTCTTCCTCTTCATGGTCCTCAGGTCGAAAGAGAACCTCAGCAGGGTGAGGATAAGGTAGTGAGGCCCTTCTGTCAACTCAGCCACTTTCTCTGCATCTTGCAAGGAAGCACACTTGTCACAATGGTATTTATTCTCTGCTGTCAGCATCTCTGGAGATAGAAAATAGTTGATCAAGTCCGGGACAGATCTGGAGTCCTTGGAACTACACGTCTGCTCTCCAAAAGCCAAGAGTGGATCTTTCCCCATCTCCCTACCAGCAGGATCATGTCTCAAGTCAATAGGAGCCTCTTGCTCCCCTGCTTCCTGGAAGCCTAACGTTTCCACCTGCACTAGCTGCGTGGGTTGCTCTCCAGACACGTGGCGTTTCCTCTGTCTCCCAGGAGAGTCTATTATCTGGCTCTGGGGTTTTACAGGTGGCTCTATAATCTGGGGGCTGATTTCTTCCACTGGCAAAATGGTGGTGTGGTTTGGCCTATGTCCGTGCCTTTCAATTGGCGGGAAAGCCAAGGACAGGTCTGTGAAGGCTTCTTCTCGGGAGGAGACATTCAAACACTTCAGACAGCGAATTTTGGTGGTCATTTTACCCCCAAACATTTTCTCAACTAAGGTCTTGTTTAAGTAGTGATTCTCCTTGGCCTGAGACATCAAGTTAGACTCTTTGAGCTTTTGGTAAATTCTTTTCCCAGTTTTCTCTTCTTCATGCAATCTTTGGGGAAAGGAGAAAAGAAACTGCATTAGAAGTCACAGATCAGAGAACAGCAGCTTCTGCCAGACAGTTCCCACCCCAACCTCTTGTAAGTGCTGCTTTTTCACGTGCAAACCTTACAGCTTTAAATCTTCGTGCACTTTTGGTGTCTTAACCCCTTAGGCCATCTCTTTATGGAGGTAACTTGCTACTGACTATTGCTCTTCACATAGTAAAGTCTGGCATCCTATTCCTTATAGGTGTGGAGGACCCTATCTGTTGAGTTCCTCTACATGAAGGAAGGGCAAAGGGAAGGGATTTGGGGCACATACAGTCTCCATGTGCCACAAACCCCTTTTGACAGGGTCTCCTTTGTGTGCCAATGTGCAGCTGGGATTTGGAAGGGATTTGCAGTTTGTGAGCTGAAGAAGAAAGCTTTAGACAAAAGTCAGAGTTTCAAATGGGTGGCAAGCATGTCCATTTTAGAGACAAACTGAGGATCTAAGTCTACATTGGACTGTTGGTTTCTATACTGGAGACCATAAAGTCAGGCTTTATAATAGAAATTGGTACAAGAAACCATGTCTTTTCATTCCTAACACACAGGGCTCCACCCTGGGAGGGGACCCTACCCACCCCCCCCATCCTGAGCCTTAGCTTACATTCGGACTTCCTTGCACCTTCTCTAGGCCAGCTGTTCTAGGGAAATGCCGTTCACACCAACACACATATGCAGTAGATGGCACCTCAAGCATCAAAATATTATTAGTCAATACAGTGTTCAGAAAGCCTCGGGAACCAACACTGGTGCCAGCCTTGTGATTTCCTTTGCAGGGAACAGCCACACATGGGCAGAAGATGAACACGCTGACCCAGAAGAATAGCTATTTGTGCCTCTATTGGTATTAACTGCATAGCATCCAGAAGCCCAGCCATGGAGCAAACCCCATTATTGCTACATGCCATACAAACCCAAGAGAAGAAAAACATGCTTGCCCAAAATGCCCACAATCTAAGATAGCGGTGTGCTCTGAAGCTATGTAAGATACTGCTCACCGGTCCAGCAGATACTTCAGGTATTCGGAGCAGTCCTGCTGAGCACCAGGGCTGAACCACGGAGGCCAGGATGCCGAGAGGAAACTTTCAGGCGAGATGGCAGGTCGCTGGCAGCAATAAAAGGGGGATGGGGAAGAAAGCATTTAAGGCTAGATCCCAACTTCCATGCAGAATGGGGGAGTGGGGAAATCTTTCCATTCACTTCAGTGAGGGCAGGCCCTTGGGGACAAAATGGTGTGAAACCCAAGGGGGGGTCACAGGACTATAAAGACGTGTCTCTTTTTAAATCTCAGGAACCAGCATGCTATGGCACCCTAAAGCACCTTGAGACCCTTTCAAGGCTGCCACAGGGTGCCACCAAAGTTGAGCACCATTTGGTGTGCAAGCAGGATGCAGAAGATAAACCCAGAGGTTTCAAGTAGGAATCAAAATGTTCTGACCTGCAAAGCAGGGTTAGATCAGATATCAGGAAAAACATCTTCACTGTAAGGACAGGGAGGCAGTGGAATGGATGCCTAGGGAAGCTGTGGTCTCTACATCACTGGAGGTGTTCAAGAAAGGGTTGCACAGGCACTGGTTAGGGATAATCTAGGTGCAGGTATCCCTATGTGCTACAGGGATTCCCCATGCTCCTGGGCTTTGCTGCTTGCGCCCTCCCTCCCTTTCTGCTAAATGTCAGGGTGTTTCTAAGCCTCCCAGAGGCACTGGATGTTGGCTGCAGCCAAGACTGAGACTTAAAGCTGGAGGTTCCTGGCTATAGGGTCTCGCCCGTCCACTCAGGGGCAGACCGATCACTGTATTTGGGGTCAGGAAGGAATTTTACCCCATGGTCATAATGGTACAGACTATGGGGGGGTTGCCTTCCTCTGTAGCAGGGGGCATGGCCCTCTACCTGGGCTCTTTTGAGCATACATTAACAACCTTTTATAGAAGCAGGATGCTGGCTGCCGCGGTCCCCCTGCTTTACCTGTGGCAGGTTAGGG